TCAACGCCACGTAGTTATGTATGATTTTGCATTGTCACCCGCGGAGACCCGCTAAATTTATATAATAATATTAATATATACTCACGATCATCTCATAGACCCCTACCACCTAACCGTTCCATAGTTCTGCCAAACCGTCATCAATCTTTAGTCCGTCACGCGTACACTATCGCCGCGTATTGTATCGATATTATTATTTATATTAATATGTTATTATACTCGGTCGTACCGATTGTGAGGCTTAAATATATATGACGTATATAAACCGTGCGCAGACGGAGACAGGTATGTATAAAAACAGTGCTGCAGATCCGTATACAATAATATAATAAGTACCCATAAAGCGTACGGTATTATAATATAATGTACCTACTATATAATATGAGAGCGAGTGTGTGCGTGTGCGCGCGCACGCAATATCGTGGAGGTGCCGGTCCGGGCGCGCGTCAGGTATTATATATCAGGTCACAAAATATGGGTTTATTTTCAAGACCTTTTTGCTTTTTATTTTATGTATACACTTACAATTTTATACAAACCTCTCCCACTAACCGCCTCGAGACGACAACGCTCTAACCAATATCACATAATACCAGTGCCATATATGTGTACACTCGTGTGCGCGTGTTGTGTACGTTTTATATCCCCAACGTCCGGAAACTAATCACCCGTGATGGCCCGCCGCCTCCGCCTCCGACCGAGCTTAACGACCGTATACTACACAAACGCGGCGTTTGGTATCGCGCGACCGTGTCTTCTCTGCTCGTTCCGCCACAGAGTGACGACGGCGGTGGCGACGATGACGACGACTGTGTGCAGTATCCATTACTGAACACACACACATACACGCGGGCGCGGGCGCCCGGGGCGTACGTCAAAATAATCGTAAACGTATTAAGTGGATATTAGGTGTACGCACGTACAGGATATACGCACGCGTGTTACGTATATACTATATATATATATATATATGTATGAAATGTACACCTAATACAGTGTATATATTATTATCATTACTATTATTATTATTATTATTATTACTGTTATTACTGTTATACGGTGTGTTTTCCTCCGCCTTTCACCCCGCACACGTACAAGTAGTATCACGTACACACACACCGAAATCCCATATCTCGTCCAATTTCGACCCGTCGACTCCTCCTTGTACTATTATTGTGTACGACGCATAGTAATAATGTTCGTTACGCGGTGCAGCGCCGCCCTATTTAACGCCTATATTGGCGGCGACGGCGAAACGATCATACGCGCAGTTTGGCGTTATATTTTGATAACGCGCGTTTGCGCGATAACGAAACAGTTATTCCAGCTGTTATACATAAATTATGTGTCTGTGCGTGTGTGTATCACTTCGAAACGGTTATTTTTAAACTTCAGCCGTATAATATAATGTAGTGCGTAATAATGCGGTGTCACATTTATGTACACAAGACCTATGTCCGTGTCCCCGGGGCGGATGGTACTCGGGACGCGCTCGATATTAATAGATATATGCTCGCTGCCGCTATAGAAATTTTATCTCTATACTTTAGTATCGCCAACGACGTATTGTTAAATGTCATGTTTGTCTAGAAAATATCTTTCACTATTGAGCTGCGTGAACTTTTTCATCTCCACATTGATACATATTTATTTATTTATTTATTGTACGACAAACGGGCAATAGATCTTTACGAAATATAAGAACACAACACAAAATACAACAACCGAGATATCTACGTATAAAAATAATAAAATAAAATTTCGATAATATTTTAACAATTAAATGTTTAAGACTGAAAAATATAGGCATGACAACTAAACTAACAACATTTTTTTTTTTTTTTTTTTTGAAACAATAAATTATTAAATTTAAAATTATCACGTGTAGAATTAAAAAGTCAAGTAAGTAGGAGATTTTATTGGCTAATCGAAAAACTCTGGTAAGAAAAGAAAATACTCCACTATTTGTGCTATTGTTTAAAATAACAAATATAATCTAGATTGCGCGTACATGGTTGAAAAATTCGGAAACATAAAATCGCTAATAATTCACGACGAAAAACATATTCAATTGAAAATATCAAAAATAAACATTATATCTGCCAGATTCCGCATTAAGACAAAAGACGGTCAAAACCCAAAAATTCCTGTAATAAATTGACCAAATATCCAGAGAACGAAAAATTTAATTTATATTATCAGTCATAAAACTATTCCATATAGCAATGTTAAATTTTAATATGAACATTTTTTTTATATAAATATATGTACCCTCGTGTACATATGAACAAGCACAGTCCCGTCATTATATGACATTTCGCTGCGTAGACAGTTTTGGAACCACAGCGCGCCTGCTCGACTGCACATCTGCACTCAGGCCAAGGGGAGTCAGACGTTGTCAGAAAATCCGATCTTCTCTATGTAAATGTTGTTATTAACCTATTGTTTAAATAAAAGCATAATGATTAAACCTCAATGCGTGAAATTAATTATTTAATTGTGTAGACGTACATAAAAATATAATGCATTTTTTAAAAATGTATTTAAAACATTAAAATTATCAAAATAAAATGTAGACAAATTTTGAGATCAAACGAGTGAGAAAAATTCAAAGTTACATCTAATTTACGAAGAATAAAGTGTTTTTAAGCATAGATGATTTCTAAATTATTTTGTATTTCTATTTATAAAATCTAACATAATATAATATGATTTGTTGAGGATTATATTATAATTAATATTAAAGCCAATATCGTTTTAAAAATAAATTCATAAATCATTAATAAAATTAACTATAGATAAGAAACACATTCATTGATTGTATATTGTTTTAAAATAGGATCAGTTTTACGGGTAAAAAAAATTACTTTACATTTATTAATACTTAGAGATAAATAATTGTTTTCATTCCATATCACAAATTTATTTAACATCAGTTGTAAATTTATTTTATCAGTTTTAGTTTTAATCTTGTAGACAATTTTATCATCATCAGCCAATAATAAAATATATGCAATGTTAGACATTTTTAAAATAAAACGTGGTAAATCATTAATAAAAATCATAAACAGTGAAGGACCTAAATGAGAATCTTAGAGAACTCCAAAAGAGATTAGAAAATGTTGAGATGAATGGAATAAGATTTTGACGGCTAAGTTATATTAGTAAGATACTCGTATTGCTATTTAAGAAAATATATATCTATACCAATTAATTTAAATTTATTTATTAAATATGCTCTACTTTATCTAAAGCCTTCTAAAAATCAGTGTATAATATGGTACTTAGCAACCCTAATCTAAAGCATCAGTGAAATAATTTTGATAATCGAGTATTATTCTAAAAACCATGTTATGTAGGACTATTTTAATTTAATTATTAATAAGCTGGACAGTTTTTTTTCAAAATAATAGCCTCAAATAATTTAGGTATAAATGGTATAATAGAAAGTTTATAAATTGGCTGATAGTTACTAATATTATTCTTACTTTCAAACTTATGTATAGGAGTAAAATATGATTTTTACAAAAACTAGAAAAACACCGATTGATAAAAAATATTAAACAATTATTGTAAAGACTTAATAAGCACTGAAAACCATTTTTCTTAAAAAAAAATCGGTGATATATCCGGGCAAGTAGGTGATTAATTATCATCGATTTAAATAAAAAAATTTAAAAATTCATCTTTAAGTAAAGACATTGAGTTAATATTTGAATCATAAATATCAACATTAAAAGAATCTAGAACATTATTGTACAAATTATTTTTAGAATAAATAAAGGAGAAAAAGCTATTTGAGAGATGTCATTTAAATTGTAAGCAAAAGTCTCATCCAGAAACGTTTACATTGAAATATTGGATTTAATTTAAGAGATTAAATATATTGTTTCCGAAATAATTTATTATTATTATAAATGTTATTTTCAACTTTTAGTATATAAATTATATATAATTGAAGTTATTTGGTTAATTGTTTACATTTCTTACATAAATTAGAAAATATAGAATAATCTGATAAATAATTAAAAATTTTATATTTTTTGTGTGCTAATTTTTTAAGTTTAATTAGTTTACTTAAATGGTAATTGAGCAAAGATACATTATGACTTGAGCTAATACCTACTTTTATTTTATATCAAAAGAATGGTTAATTTATTCAGTGGAATTTCAAAACGGTATTATCTAAATATAAAGTAGTTTTATGAATCATAATAACTGTACAGGACAAAAATTAAGAATGTCATTAAAATTACAGTAGTTAACATTCAAAATTTTAGAAAAAAATAGATCCAAAGAAAGACTAAGTATTGTAATGGAAAAAATAAATTTTAAAGATGAATGATGCAGATTTATAAAAAAAAAAATAGTAAAAAATTCAAAATACGTATAAAATCACAGTAGAGCTTTTAAATATTAAATCTAAAATACCGCTGTGGCAATCGGTTACATTATTAATCTGTATATTATAACGTATACCTAATCATGTAAATTATTTATTACACTTGCACCCTAAATGTCATGTTATAATTATTATATGTGTACACAATTCAGTCACCAAAACAAAATCAAACAATATTATTATGTGTACGAGTAGAGAACACGGTGTGTAAAGTATAATAATACGTGAATAATTAAACTAGTAGTTATTATACAAAGAGTATGCCCTGTATAGGATTAATTAATTAATAACGTCTTATTGACAGATAAATTAGACAAAAAACAATTAAATACAACAAAATATACTAGACGAGTTTCGATGCAAATAAATCTTTTCTATAATTATGTTAGTGCCTCGAGGAAATTGCTTTCACGTTAACTTATTTAATATCCAATGTTTAAGTAGTTCGTTTAAAATACACTCTATATTCAGTATAATAAATAATAATAAATCCATATTAAAATATATTGTGATGTGTTGCATACCATAATAATAATATGCACACTATCGCGGTGAGCTTATCGTGATTGTCTTTCATTAATCCTTGGCTTAATTTCAGGAAATAAATTACGACTCGGCTAGAGGCGGGGTGAGTGTAATCACGGAGAAAGGCGAAGTAACCACCAGTTATTTGCTCGTACAAAGAGCGACCAGCACGGATTCGGGAAAATACACGTGTCATCCAAGCAACGCAAATCCTCACACCGTCGTTGTACACGTTCTTAACGGTAATTATTGTAAACATTCAACAGTTCAATAAATTCTATCAATCAGCCATAATAAATAATTATATACTATAGCACACTTATAAACTATTATCAGAATATAATAAAGTACTCGCTTATTATATTTCTTATAAATTAGTTTTAAAACGCCATAAAAACCATAAATTATAGAATTATGTTTTCAAACTGTGCATAATACGTACTTTTAATAAAATTTTATTTTTCAAATAATTTAAAATCACATAACTGTGGGGCTTTAAAACACCTACATACATAACTTACTAAAATAAATATAACATTTATACAATCAAATACTTATGTACACAAAGCATCAACTTTCAAATATAACCATTGCAAAAACATTCAAAATTCATAAACTAGTTTATGTTCAATCAATAATTAATATTTTAGTACTAATGTACATAATGAACAAAGATTAATAGCTAGTCTAATCATAAAAACCAAAAAAAAAATAATAAGCTGTAGTTATATATATATATGTATTTATAAACTTTATTAAATCCATGTATAACATAATATTAAACCATGCTTATTACGTAATTTAATGACATTTTTTTTTCCTATCGAGTATAATTATTTATCTATTGGCCGGCGCATTGTATAGGCATTTTCGGTACATCAATGTGTAGGTGAACAATGTACCGCACTGTTTTTTTTAAACAAATTTAACAAGAAGCAATTATCACGTGACAAATATTAATTATTATATTCTTATGGACACACAGTACTACTAATGTTTAACAGAAAAAAAAACGGAAAATTTACGGATTTAAATATCTCAATAACGAAGTAATTGTTTTAATTATACCCTATAATGAAGTTTTCAGAATAAGTCCATTTACCCAGTTATAGATTCAGTAATTATTATATTATAGTAGAAATTCCAATTCAATGTCCAATGAATTTTAATAAAAATAAATGACTTTATAAGAAGGTTATCCAATTTCTATTTTTTTGGTATTATATACTAAAAAAAAAACAAAATTGAGTATTCTAATCATTATGAATGGTTATTATTAGTTTTATGTATGTGTTTGTAAAATGTGACTAGAAAAAAATATTATTTTTAAATGATATTTTATTATTTACGATACAAGTTAAGTATTTTGTAGTTACTACGCCTGAGTAAATTATTTTATAATAACTACTAAATTTATGAGTTACATTTTAAATTTATTAAAAATTAAAACTAAGGTATTATGCAATTAATATTAATGTTTACAATTATATGTCATTTTAAACAAAATAAAAAAATTAATTGAAACTAGATATTTTATTTTGACATGCAAAAACATAAAAAACATAGTTATTAACTGAGAGTTGTAAGTTTTTAATATATTTCTCTCATAAATATCTAAATATATTTTATTGTACACACTTAACAAAACTGTGAATACCTTATTGAAATATTATAGTTTAAGTATCATACAATATTTATGATTATTTAATACTATATACATATATATTTAAACTATATAAAATATACTTTATTATAATTATTAGGGATTAACTAAAATATATTCTTTTAAAAGTAATACACTTTTATAATTAGCACTGGTTTGTATTAAATATATTGAAAATTAATTGTATTAATATTTTTTTTTATTTTCGCTCATCACTTTTTTTTTATATTAAATAAAATTAAATTAAAAACATTTTAAGTATTTTTTTTTAATTTACTGTCAATTTTATATGTGAATAATAAAATATATACTTGGATAATGCTTCTAAAATGTAAACACTAATAATACTTTTCATATATATCTATAATAATGCACTTTGTTTATCCTATATTCTACCACTTGGAAACACTTTATCGTACTTATTCAAAAACCAAATAAGTCTCCTGATTCCCTTCTCTTTTTACGTCTTTAAGCCTTCACCCAGTCCTTTCAAAACTCTAAAAAATAATATCTTAAGAAAAATCAATGAACAAAAAATTATTCTCATTTTTTTTTTCGTCATTGAATGATTACGCCCTTAAAAAAAACAAATAACAAAATGCTATATAATAAATGTATAAGTCTAAGTTTACAACAAACCAACAACAATTCAGTTTCACCAATCTAATTTTTCAACAACACAGCAATAACCTCATCGAACTCTAATAATATAAGCTCTACAACAAAAAAATCTCCAAAACCACTTAACAAAACTATAAAAATGATTTAACTTATGAAAAATGAAATAAATGAAAGTAAATCCACATATTATATCACTTTTACACTCATTCCTAAGAATACACCTCCCGTCGTCTTTCTTAATGAAAAAATAATCCCATGGATACTTCTGCTGAGTACATAGATTTCTACCTAGACTTTAGAATTACCTTGGCAACACGCATAAAAACAAATAAGAAATCCTTAATCTCAAAATTCACAAATTAAGACAAATGTTCGAAAAAAAATCTTGTTAAAAAGCAAATTGCTAATATAATATAAGCAATTAATACGTCCTACTATGACGCACAGCATACAATTCTGGGTAACAACACAAACTTTTAACTTAAACATATTTAATTCTTTCAATCAATATCTTTTCGATTTCTCCTATAAAATATCAGCAATATCACTTTATATCCATGACCTCAACAAAGCAACAATGCCAACACTTGCATCCTGTTATCATAGTAATCTTGATAAAAATGACTCAAATCACTGAAACTCTAATATATCCGAGCTTTCTTATTACAATACTTCAAAATCTTCCCCTTTGGCTTAAATAAAAGTATATTATTATGTGTATTAAAAACATTGAAATATTTTTCTATATCATATTTTTTTTTACTAAAAAAATATACATACATATTGTATACTGTGCATACGCGTATGACCTATCAAATTTAAATTTCTAAATTATGATATTACAAATGCCTACATATGAGTAAGTATTCAAATAAATTATTTTTAACTAAATGTACACATAAAACAACTTAACATTTCAAATGAGCTATACCAATTAAATTTCTTAAGTCTATTTTAGGGAAATTTTTTTTAAAAAATCATGCATTCTAGATGCATATAAATAAAACAAAATTATATCAGTATAAATTCAAATTAAATTAATTAAATATGCTATGTTTAAATATGTTTGATTTTCACATTAAAACAGTATATTGAATTATTTTAACGATATAAAATAAACAAATTGTTAAACACTTGTTGGCATATTTATGACTTAAAATAAAAACCATTAGGTAAATAATATAACGACTCGACTATCCAGTTCAAGACTGCAACAACTCAAAAAAAACCTTTTTTCAGGAGAGCGATTTAAAATATCAATGATCAAAGCAATTACATGTTGTTCGAAAACGATATAAGAACGCTCTAATGATCAATAATTTAACTTATTTTTATTTCGTTCTTGAATTAAAATTACAATGAAAAACCGGATAAAATGATGTAGTTAACTCATTTTTTGATTTTTTTGAGTTATAGCAGTCTTGAACTGGATAGTTCAAGATAAGTTTAATATATCCTTTCAACATTGCACTCTTCATAGATTTTTCCCTACGACATTGATTCACCTATTTTGAGAGTGACCTGTGATATTTTTCCGTCCAGCTTCCAGTTTATAACTAGTCTAATTTATTTTCCTCCTTGCCATTGTAATTTCTGACATTTTACAAAATAATTGACAGGTGCTATTCATATTCTTTCCTATACTTCTCATCAAATACCGAGCTATGTACATATCCTTTTCCATATATTTATTTTCAATGGAATTCAGTCCCATCTCTGTGACACTTGTAGTATTTTCATGGGCCACAAGTCACGACCATGCATTAGAGTAGACTTAAATGTTGTAATATATAATCTTAATTTTGTTCTTTTTAAAATTGTAATGTTATTTTTATCGTACTTATAGTTTAAATAACTTGACTATTTTATGATTACAGGAGAGCATCCAGCGGCTATGCAAAAAGGTTCGAAGCTCAGTTTGAAATCTTCACTATCATTCCTCAGCGTTGCTTTGGTGCTATTTATTAGCACGTGATTTAAAAATTGTAAAATAATATTATTTATAAATTATATGCTGTAAAATACTGAAGTCATAAACTAAAACTTTTAAATTGTACTACATTATTATGTAATGTTACACGATAATATAATATTATAATCATACCTTTATAATTTTCAGTCATACAATAACTGTATACTCAAATTATTGTTTATACTATAAAACTACCTATTTAGGTGTTTAAAAGTACTCAAATTAAAAAAATAAACAAACCCCAAAGCTATAGGCATGATATATTATCCCCAATATTTATATTTAATATATTTTTTTAGTGTCGTTTTTAAAAAATTTAAAAACGTAATCTGTTTATTCTATTTTATATGGAAACTCCTTTAAATATAAAAATAATTGTATACTTTAAACAGCATTTTGTCTTCCAACAGTAATAGTTATTTTTAACTAATTGACACAGTAATGCTATAAATACCATTGAATATTAATATATAATTGATTCAGAGTAACCTCCTACCCCCATTATCAATGAAATTCATATTTAAAATGTATCTTATTATATTATATAAATAGTTAATAATTTAATGTGAAACAAAATATCACAATTGGTTTTTAAAACAAATAAACAAAAAAAAATTGTCTTGTCAATGTTTGGCTACAATTAAATATATATTTAACAAGTTAATAACGACACCACATTCATTCTGTTTCTAAGAACTGTTTCTTTTTTTCCCTTTTTTTTTTTTTGTACATTTTCTTTATTATTGTAAATATGATTAATTTTTAAATTATAATGTTGTTGATACTATAGTTGTAGGTAAATCATATTAAAACGACTTAAATTAAGTCGGTGGACAGAGAAGAGGCCACATAACACACAAGTACCTAAATTCATTTTTGGTAACTCTATTACTAATATAATAAATTAATACTTATTTATTACTATTATTATTATTGCAAAGCAATTTGTGAATCTGTACAAAAAAAATTAAATTAATAAATTTATTGATTATTAACATGGTTTCATACAATCGTAATAAATAAAAGTTATAATAAATCTGCTTTGAATTATATAATTGACAACGAACTAATAATAGTAGATATTAAGTATATTCAAATAAAATGCCCATAATTATAGATTTACAATTGATATTTAAACTGACGTTTTATTTCATTGGTTAATTTATCTACTAAAAATACTACATAAATTATCTTCAATCATCAATAATTCTATTAATATAAATTAATATATTATTATAAAATATAAGTTATATAACATACTTGAAACCAAAAGGCAATAAGTATACTTTCATTATCATAAAATATATTCGTATGGAATATTAAATCTATTTAACTATTAAACAATACTAGATTTAGTAGATCTAGTAAATACTAAACATTATTACGAAAAACAAGAAATATTTTATAACATGAATTCTACACATTGCTTTGTACATAATTATAATATCTTAATTAAGTATTAAAATAACTGAATGGCTTTAGTGCACATAAGTTACCTATAACACAATAGTCAATTTAATATATATACGAGAAAATATAAAAGAAATTACAAACAATGATAAATATGAGTTATTATTAGAATTTGTTTTATAAAAATTTCAAATTTATACAGTTATAAAAAATAAACAAAAACAACAATACAGTTTATCAGTAATTTAAATTCCGACTTACTTCCTATTTTAATATCTAAAAAAATTTTTGTTAAAATGTATGGTTTTTGAAAAAAAAATTTAAAATCTAATATAGATATACAATAGGGGCTCGTTAATCCTAACACAGGCTAATTCGAAAGACGCTGTAATCTGAACGGGCTTGGAAATTTCCGCATCACTATACTAATACACACGTGTATCATAATTCATAATAATATGCAATATATGAACATAATATTATCTGGCTGTATATACATAATTATAATGATTTTGATTGTATTAATTGTGTTTTTGAACAACGAATTTTATGAATTAATACTGCAGTATAGATAGGTAAAAATTAATTTCAAAATTTAGGTTGCAAGAAAATTGATTTTTTTTTTAAGTCATAAGTAATCCGGACAAATCGTTAATCCGAATGATCCTTTTCCCCAATCTCGTTCGGATTAACGAAACCCTACTGTACGTATATTATATATACCTGATTAATATTATTATATAACCTATAGTTAACGGAACATGCATTTCATTCATAAATATAGTTACATATTAATTTTTGGTTGGTTTAAAATATAAATGTATGCATATTGTATATTTAGTAGTTATATAATATAATATAAGTATATATAATAATTAAAAAACAAACAATTTACATCGCCAAAAATAAAATTGAGTTTAGGTATACTACAAACCTGCTTTTTAATTCTTATATATATATATTATGTGTTTTTATTTATTTTATAGATACAATATAAACTTAACATTGTTTTTAAATATATTTTGATTTATCCATAAGATAATATACACAACTAAAAATGTGTAAAAATATATTATGTACTAACTTGCAAAATAAATGTTTATACTTATAATTATGCTTTACGCAGATATTTAAACATTGTATTATAAATTAATAAAACGTATTTCATATTTATGTACGTATCTATCCTTGATAAATATAATGCATTTAAGCAAATATTATGATCTATTTTAACAAATTGATCATACATTAAACTAATAACCCTTAATATTATTAAGTAAATATTAAATTTAAGTAATGGTGGTTTTTTTTTTTTTTTAATTGGCACTAAGTTACAAACAAAATAATAGACAAACATTAATTTTTTTCAAAATATTTTTATTTTTGTAAATAAATTAGTTAAGTACACATTTTGTGAACAAATTAAAAAATTTAAATTTTTGTAGAGTTGAATAAATTATATTTATTGTTTATTTTATTCTTGTTGTATACACCATTTCATACATTTTATCATCATGAAACATGTATAATTATCTATAAAATTTTGTTAAGTTTTTCTTATTATAATCTTTTCTTTTATATACATACATACAAATATTTATTCATGTAAGTTAATGTTACCTACCTAATTAATCGTAATTTGATGTTCATTAAATGTTATTTTATTCTGAATTAATTTGTTTTTATTTTAAATCAATAATAGATGTTGAATACTATATATGAATAATGTACACTGTACAATAATTAATAAGATAAATTTAAATAATGAAATTTATGAAATAACAAGTTAACTTCTAATTTGTTAAGAAATTAATAAAACCAATATTCAATAATAATAAGAATATTCACTACCCATTAAAATACATACCTATAATATATACATTTTAGGTATTTGTTACACTTTACATTTCTATAACAGTTTATCCATTACATAAGCTATTTATTTACTTTTTATTTTCATTAACTTATTCATTAATCTTTTCCAACAAAACTAATTATTTCAGTGAAATTTATAAATATAATTTTTATAATTACTATGTATACACAAATTTTAATCATTTTTACGCTTTTCAAAACTAAGTTTCCCATTTACCAAGTTTATTCTTTTATAATAATTTTATGATTACAAAACTTTATATCTAAGTACGACATTTATATAACTTTCTTCTGTTCCTGCTAAATTATTTTAATAGATTAACTAAATATTTTTTTATGTTTCCAAACCATTTCTAAAATAATTCAATATTTATGGAAATCCTATATTAAATATATTCGCTCTCATTCTTTGAATGTACTTTGTTTAAACAATAAAATCCTTTTAACCAATATTTTTAACTTCGCCAGTAATAAAATTGAATTAAATTGTATACTTTATTATATTATACATATACTACTTAAAATTAAGAAAAAGACTTAATTATTAGATTTAAGTTAATATTTATAGTTTTAACAAAAATTTGTAAATATCCAAAATATTATCTATAATCATATACTCGTATTTATATTCATATTCAATATTCTTATGTTATCAATTATTATCATCCATTAAAATAAGTTCATATAATGATTATTGTTTAGCTATTGAGGTAATGCTCAATGTTCAATTCTATACATCGTTTAATTTTTTTTTTCTAATCCGCATTTTCTTATGCAGGCCACAATCCCTGTCTATGCATATCAGTAAAGCGCGAACTACTATCCATTTTCAGGGCAACCAATTTAAGAACCATGCCAAATTACCATAATATTTGATTTTAAATTCACAAATTATACCTCATGTGGTCCAAATAACTGCAATGTTTTATACATAAAGACTAAATTACAAAAATCTATTTTATAACAAAAAAATCAATAATACAAATAAAAAACACAGTACTATACTCGTACTATAATACATAGGTCAACAATTTTAATTTTAATAATATTCAAACTATTTTTATGCACTTTAAAAACAACTAGTTAGTTGTTAATAATTTTGTATTCAAGTAGATAATGACAAATTGATTATCTTTGGAATTTACATATTTATTGACAAATCTAAAAGAAATTAAAAAGTTATATGACAAGAAATTAAATTATTTACAATTGGGTTCTTGATTTTCTTAGAATGCCTATGAATTTTATTTTAAAATCTGTTATATACATATATGATCAATAATCACAACTAACAAATAAATTAAGTTGCATTGGACAAGAATTAGAATTAAAAAATACAATAAGGAAACCATCCAGTCAAGGGGTTTACATATCAAGTCCATATAATAATTATAATAACAAATATTAATTTTATTTATTTCCATTAGATAACAATAATACTACACAGACAATATTTCATGTTGATACTCAATCAAAAATAAACCTTACGTAAGTTATAGTAAACAGGTAAGTTCAAACTGTTCAACGTAGTTCTATATAATTCACGAACTGGAGTTTTCTCAACGTTTTAGCTCTTCATCAGACATTCTAAAAGTAAACGAAAAAAAATAACAATCAGTTTGACCAAATAATTATTTGTTTGAATTACTTACTTGGTTCATAGTAAAATGTATCGTTTTTTCTTCTGTTTTTCACCGCTACTGAAACCATTAATTCAACGGTTAAGATATTAGGCTGTCTTGGCGAAAAGAGTTGACGGTTTAAAAACTCCTGGCTGACAAGGGCTTATGCCGGCGACTACACTGTCAGCGTGATGAATTGAAGTGTTTTCTATTGCTCCAAAGCCTGTTTCCAACACACTAGTAGATTCACTATAACCCACAACTTGCCTCGGTTGCATGTAATTTATCATACTTTATTTTTATTATTACTTTCTGACCCCCTGTAGTCCTGT